TTATATTCATCCGGGGCTGTGGGAAAGAAACCGCTTCTCTGGGATGTTTTTCTTCTCTATCTTCTGTTTCTCTGCCGCTGAGAAATATGAATTTTCATTTATTTCAGACGCCTGGCGCTTCCGTCTTTAAATTGGCCAAATTAATAAGTGCGCCAAGGCCGCGAACCCAGAGCTTCGGCAACAGGACAATACATTTGGCACTCGAAACGTGGCGTTAATTGCCGGAACCCTCCGGAAAACTGGGGGCGCGAGAAGGAAAACACTTGAAAAAGTTTTCGCGCTGCCAGAGATAATTAAAAAAAATCCTAAAGAGGAGGATGCGAAGCTCAGAGACAGGCCAACTGAACAGCCAGTCAACTACTGGGCTTATCCCTTTTATCTATTCTTAAAACCTTCTAGTGCAGACGTGTTTAGAAAATATAAAGTTTCTAGGTATAATGAAAAAACTTTTTTTTTAATATACTTTTAAAGGTTTTTCTGGATTTTCATACCCACATTGTTTGTTCTTAACTTTATTAAATAGCTTTTTGGGGGTTAACCTTGCTCTTTAAATGCTAGAGTTATAAATATTTCAAGGATCCTTTGAATGTATTATCTTTCACTTATAGTTTTAAAATAATACTTTTAAAGATCTTAGAATATTCTTTAGCTTTTAATATTTTGCTTTAAATAGTACTATAGTGTACTTTTTCTTCTGGTATTTATTCCTCATTTAATAAGAACATTGCAAATAGTTTTTTGTCTTACATAGTAAATGAGTTCTGCAATTTCCTCACTCCCTTTTAATTTTGTGTCAGTGGGGTTTTTCCTTTTTAATTTTACCTGTTTTGTCTTAGTTTAAGCTCTTTCTCAACTTACAGAGAATGTAATGAAGGAAACTTTTGTTACAGGCCCACAGCAGAACCTTCTTTATGAATCACATTTTTGCCTCCCGCCTTTGCACTCATCTGAAGTTTAATATGACAGTAAATGGGGCTCAGATTGAGCTTCCTCAAAGGGAAAGCAATATTGTAAACGGTTTCGCTTTGACAAATGCCCATCTGTCTATCAGCTGAGCTCTCTCAAGGGTGTTTTGAGCCAGGCGAAGTAATTGAGAAGCCGTCGAGTTGGCTTCCAGCCATGCATCTGGCCCAGTTAAACCGCAAGGCTTTTGCTTTGGCCCCAGTTAATGGCGAACGAACCCAAAGGGTCGACTCGAGGTGGGTCTGTCGATCTGCATAATGAAATTGCGGCCTTATCTGGTACAGTACAGTTACGGGGCATCCAAATTGCAGTCGGTAGTCGGTGAAAGAACTCAACTCCACTGAAAAAGGCAAGCGGATGCAGATGGAGTTGGAGAGATGATGCTGCAGGGCAGAAGTAGAACCTGAGAACCTGAAAACGATACTCGATGTGACGCGGCATCTGCGATTGACTTGCTGACTTACTGATGGAATAACAGCCTGACTTGACTGACTGGCTGAATGGCTGGATGAATAATTGCGAAACTGCAGCTGAGCCCGCAAGCTCTCTTATGCAAATCAGCCCCAATGACCATGGCCGTGGTCTAGGCGAGTCATTTTCGCCAGCAATTTGGCCGTAATTTTCGCACATTTGGCCAACAGCTGCTTTCACATTTGCCACATATATCCGCGGGGCTGAGGGGGTTTTTTTGTAGAGGAAATGGTTCGGGGAGTTTGGGGATCGTCACCTCCCCCAAGCAATTACGTCAGTTTAGGCATGACTCCTAATTAACTGGGCGTTGGCAGGGCTCTTTGGCAGCATTCCCGCTTTAATTAATTTTAATTAAAACTCCTTACCAAAAATTATCAAAGTGTAAGCACAACACAAAGGGAAACAAATCGGTAAAAAGGGATTAACAAAAAAGGGCTTTTATGCTTATTAGAAAATAGCATCCACTTTTGTATCAAACATAATTGTTAAAAGCCTTCAAAACTGCTGAATAATAAATGAAGAAAAATTATAAAATGTATATATTAACACCTTTTGATAGACATAAATAAATATTTTGACATAACATGTAATGGAAAATATATTTTAATTAAGACTTCAAGCTTTATGAAACATTGTTTACTGCCATCATGATATTTTATGATACTTCCGCTCTCACAAAATCGCTGAATAGGATCAACGATTACACCCTAACATTTTTATGAGTTCTGCATATGATATAGAAAAACGGATTCGTAATGTGGCGCCTAAACATCGTAATCAGTATTTACGACATTCCAGGCCAGACGAAGTAAATGACCCCACACTTTGAAGGGAAAAACCTTTTTCTTTATTGCATTTTTATGGCTGCCTGATTTTATTCTTAGTGCAGATGTGTGTGGGGCTATTGTTTCATTTGCCAACAAAAGAACAGACCCACTGACTCATGTACGTGGCCATGTTCATGAGGTTTTTGGGTCTGGAGGGGCCCTGTAATTAATCATAAAAATTGTTTGCACCTTGCCGTGGACAAACCGCAGATACCAGTGTCGTTTTTCGACGCGGTCTGGTCACGTATGGCATTACGCACTTCCGTTTCCGCTCTGTCTCCTCCCTTTGGGGCTTAAATTTTAGTTTGAGGCTGGCGATTCAGTTTGCTCACCCGCGCGCAAGCAAATAAAAAATAAAATACAAAAGTCAAAAACTTTTTATTGCATTCTGCTTGCTGAATGTCTCGCTTCCGTTTTTTCATATATATATGTATTTTGCACGCGCAAAATTTATTTTGTGATTTATGGGGCGCAAAGCCAACAACAGACACGCAGAGGGCGACAAACTCGCATTTGCAGACTTGTCGGCGCGACTTTCTGGCCACAGACATCCCATCACATTTAAGTTTGAATCGAGGCCCAAATCAAGAAGCCAAAATAACCTTGAAGTTAGTGGCAGTGGGATGCAGTCATTTATCGGCTTGGAAAATATACTTTCATCTTTAAGATAGCACAGATTTATTTGAATAAATGTGAATATTGCTATGTGAAAGCAACATTAAAAGGAAAGGCTCAATTATTAGTTATCCATTTATAGAAAGAACATTAATCAGCTAAACAAACATATTTAAAATGTATTATGGGCAACTACTTATTAAGTTCAAATATTTTAAATTGTATAGTTTACATTTTATGATATTAAATTGAAAACTTAAGTCTTTGGAGTCACTAGCAAAACTAAATTGATAAGAAAAAAACATTTTCGAAGCGCATGCGAATATCTTCGTTGTCGCCTTCTCTTTAATTTAATTTTTGTTATAAAAGCAAGCCGTCATATAACTTAACAAATAACAACTCAATTAAACACAATTTGTCACCAATCACGTCCGATCAAAAGTGGTCAAAACGGCGAAAAGCCACTGACCACTTTCTGACCAACACATTTCCCAACCTCGGCGGCCATAAAGCTCGTAACCAACTTTTATTCATAAAGCCTCTCGGCGGTAATTGCTGTTTGCTGCTGTTTGCATTTTTTATACAATCAGTTTATTCTTTTTTAATGGTTTGCATTATTTAAGACGACACTGTCAACAAGCTGTCGACTGTCAATTGCAAAAATGTTGGGCCCCAGAGTTTTCCGTCAGCGAACCATTTAACACTGGGTTTTTTTTTTGTGCCCTCGGGTTGTGCATTGATTTTCAGTTTCATTTTTGATGTCCTGATGTGACATAAATAATATAAAAACCCACATTTTTTCATATACTAAATTTTTTATTAGAAAAGATAAATACGACCCTTGGGTTTTTTTTTTGTGACATGGTCGATCCTTAATGGGCGGGCAATTATGCCCGGTATAGCTTCCCATTGATTATGATAATGAGAGACCTTCTGCGGCTCCCAAACCAATTATGTCGAGGTGTTAGGCCGTCACACGTTATATATATAGGGCTCAAATCCAAACCAAAGTCGAGGTAAAACCAAAAAAAAACCCTAAATCGCCGGGACAAACAATGAAGTGTGTGTTTGCTCAGTCAGCAAGTGACATGCAATTATTTATACATTAGCGCTGGGGCGGGAGAGTAAGGTAAATATTTGCCACAAACTTTTGTCAAGTCAAGTTGTATAGTACATTGCGTATACGGCAAACAATTTGAAATACATTATCTGCTGGCGTTGAGGCAAGAGTTGTGCCATGGAGAGTGTGGAAAAAGCAATTATCGCCTGGGAATGGCAAAGAAAGATCCTCAAAGCTTAATGGCATTTAACGGGGCTAAAAAGTGCTAGGCTTCCTGAACATTTTAAAATTTCGGAACTCAGGGCCAGGGCAATACTCAATAATTTATCGAGGCTCGAAGGACTGGCTTTAATGTGGCCTGGTAAAATATGCAAGACCTTAACCGCAGGCAGCAACCACTCCTTCAATCGCTCACTCAGTCAGTCAGTCAATCGGAAGGCCAAACCAATTCAGAACCTTCGACGACAGGTGGCCTCAAAGATAAGGAAATCAGGAAGTTTTCCATCTTTAGCCAAGAAAACTCTTCCATCTACTTGTTGCTGGTAAACGTTTTCCACTTGTTCTCATGAGGCCAGGCATGCCCTGAGGTGTTTGGCAAAAAGAATTTATGGAACCCAGGGAAAAACCTCAGCTTCAGCGGTTCACGTTCGACTGATTTGAAAAACATTTGAATGGCGCCATAAAATCACTTAAGTGTGTTTTGCCGTTCACGTTCCATGGCGCCCATTTCAATATTTTTTGTGGCATATTTACGGGCGTTGACGTACAGGATTTAAGGATCCCAGGATCCAAGGTCCATAGTGTGGTAACCGAAAACCCATCAGAACCGACACATTGCACCAAATTTGCAGGAAAAGGGCAAGGGCGAGGCAAAAATCGAATTGGTTATACGCAGCATATGTGTAGGCGCTTTTCCGAGGGGAATACGGTGTTCGACTGCGAAACAACCATATTAAATTTGTTATAAATTAAGATTGATACCGATGCGTCCCTTGGGTTATGTGCATGTGTGTATTTCGGGTATTTTGTGGGGCTGAACAGGCCCTTTTCATATCTCCACTTACCTCCACTTCTTGGAAGATTTTCCCGTCCTATCATTAACTGCAAAGAGAAAGGATGAAAATGATTATTAGCCGAAGTAATCTCTTAAGCTATGGATTTGAATAACGATGTGGCTTGGGAAAACTTTTACATGAAAAATGATTCTAACAAGAAAATCCTTCGGCCATTACAAGGATTCTACGAAGTCACTTTTTAAAGAAAACTAGGATACACTTTATTCGCTTGTCTAGGAATGAAAATACTTTGTGGTTCAGTGAGTCCATCAGAGTCTGCCAATCGCAGAGCATTTTCAACTTGAGTCAAGGCTGCATGGCTTACTTAAATCCACCATTTTATTTTAAAAATTAAAAATGCAAGAAAATATGAAAACGGATTCACAAGTTATAGAATAAACTTTAAGGATACCCGATAAAAATAGGCAAAATTTTTGGGGAATTGTTAAAAATATTAAGGAAAAATTAAATTACTAAAAAAATATAAAAATAAAAGAATAATATGATACAAAATTAAATAAATTGCTTCTCAAAAAATAGTACATTAAAAATAGTTTATTATTTCTATGATAAAAGTTTTAATGTCTACCAAGCGTGTATATATAAAGTCTAATAAATGTTTTTAGTAAACTTTAGTGACAATCCAAATATACTTTTATCAAGAAGACGGTTGTTTATTATTCTCCTGCATATTCATGGCACAACTTTTTCTTTGAATGCCTGCCCACTGTTAATATTTTAATTTCCGGCGAAAACTTTTTCCTCAGCCACTTTCCTAGGCTGTCACTTAACCCAATATCGGTGCCAATAATTTAGCCATTCAGCCAGTTACAGCTAATTCACTTAATTTCGCCAGTGAAAATAAAACAAGTTAAAAGCGTTTTTCTTTTTATTTTTTATTTTTATTCAGCTTTGTTTATCGCCAACTGGCAACGAGTCGTGCAGTTCAGGGCCTGGGCCATCGAATGGCTTTTTAATTGACAGGCTTGGGAGCGTGGGAGGGCTCCTCGAAAAAGGGGAATCCAATAATAAAAAACAACTTGAGCACCGGACAACAAAAAAAAAAGGTCAAACCAGGTAGGCTAACTGAAAAGCCATCGGACAGCTGCGTTGCATCGTCTTTTTTTGGAGCCGTTACTGGAGCTGCGATTTTGAACTGGGTTTTGGGATTTGGGATTGGAACTGGGACTGGGATTCGGCCGACGGCAGCTGGGAATTCACTCGGTCGTGGGGAACTCGACTTGATTAAAGATTTCACACTTGATTAAGCACTGGGGCCAGCAGATCCAATTGCCAGTTTCAAGTTCGCCGGGGCCATTCCGGATGCTTTTTCCTCACTTTTTACCTCGTTTTCCAGCTGTGTGAGCCGAATTTTGTTTATTTTCGGATCTTAAATAAACAACTGCAATTGTTCAAGGTAAATTGGTGGACAAAAATGTAAAAAACAATTGCACTTTAACAGCCACTTAAGTGTTTACGTTTATTGGCACGGATCTTGGGCTTTTAATTGCAATTTTTAAACTATTTATGCTACACATCTCTGTGAATATAATAAAGTCTCTTATTGTGTATAGTTTTGGGTAATTATTTTAAGTCAATAAATAAAACTTGTTTATGTTTAATTGAAAATACGCACAAGGCTTTATAATTAAATCATTAAATTTAATTTTTTGTCGCAACACATGAAGTATATATATATGTTGATTTAGCACCAATAGTGGAGTTATTAAAAATGCAAACATTTTAATCTATACTCCTGAAAACTTTATTTTGTAGTGAAAACTTAATACTTATTTATTTACTTATTTTAAAATCAATAAATTACCATTCTGGCATTTAGTGGGAAAATTGTTTGACGAGCAAATATTTATTATTAGGGCAATGTAAAGACTAATATAAAAAGCGAAATTTTACTGTCTCGACCAAAGCTATTTTCATGAAAACTCATCTTCTAAAAGATATGAATAAAATGAAGTATTTTTTTCCAACATCTGCCCCATTTCATTTCTCTATTTATCTCTGTCAATCTAGGTACCCCGCCAGTCAAAAAAAAGGCTGCCTGGACAAAGCCACACAAAAACTATCTTCAAATATTTGATTTTATTCATAACAATAGCAATTTGAATAAAGCAGCCTTCTGGCTATTTATCTGCCCGGTTTAAAGCCAAGGCAATGAAGAAAAACTGATGACCACAAAACAGAAAGCCAAAGCAACTACAATTAAAATGGGAAAATAAATCTTTGAATCGTGATCCCAGGCAGGGCATAACTGGGTCAAATCTCTCAGATGAGGGCGGACCCCTCGATTTGAATGGAAATCGCTCGCTAAACCATGGGAGAGGCTTTGGGGGAAAAAAGAAACCCAGAGATCTCTCTGATGGAAATGGTAATGTGCCGGAAGAGAACTTTTCCCACAGATTCATGCACGCAGTATTGCAAGGTTAAGAGCAAAGTTTTAATCAGGATGGTAGAACTTCATTAATTTGCCGCCAACTTTTTTACGAAGCACTTGACTAGGCTTCAAATAAATGCCATTACAGCAACCTGCAATCGAAAAAGAACGTGCAAGTCGTGCTGGCCCATGGAAAGCAAACGAGGCGGTTGCATTAATAAATAATAAAATAAAACAAAAATGAAAAAAAAATCCAAAAAGTAACCCAAGCTGCCAGCAGCCGTTGCACATTTTATGCAAATATCGGCCAGCCGAAGAAAAAACTTTCGTTTCAACCTAAGCGTTAATAGGAAACTCAGGGGTTGGTAAAAAAAAAAGAAAATGGGGAGGGTGGTTCGTGAGGGATTCAGGCTGGGCCACATCCACAAGACCACACATTGCACCACTGCAGGTCCTCGACTCCTGCGCCTTCTCCTCCACAAAACGCTCTTGACTTGCCCTCCGGCCAATGGATATGCATATACACGGGGAAAAACAATTTTCTTTTCATTAAGATTATAAAAAATTTGAGGTCCACACTTTCCCATAAGCCTTAGACTCATTTTTATGGTCTTTCTATGGCTGTGGTCTTTTATTTTGAACAAAGTTAAATATATTTAACATGTATTAGCATTTTTTGAAGATATTTCTTAGGCTATAAGTACAAAAGAACTGGGATATTACAAAGTAAAGTCGCTTCTACTAAAAATATATTACAAAAATTTTTGTAAAATAAATAATATAAATAATTTTGTAATATTTTAAAAATTGGTTAGAATTGTTTTTACCTTTTGTGTGATATTTAGATCTTAAAATTTAAACGAATATTTTTTATTCCACCTGTATCTTTTAATACGCCACTTTATTTTTTTTTAATTGTAATAGCATAATTTCAAGGCAATTTCTCTGAGTGTATTCATGCTTTTTATGTTTATGTGCTATGTTCCTCGACTAACAATGAAACCGTTATGAGTCCAGGGGTGCAATGCATAAGCTTGTATTATTTTCATTCTTCCTCGCGTTCGCCGCTCTTTCAGACTTTATGACACGTGAATGTGTAAGGTCTTGTATCTGTGGTCGAGCGATTTGCGGTTTTTATGCCAAAGCCCAGCATCTGAAATTGATTTTTCATATTTAATGCCAAAGCAGAATGGTAAATGTTTCATTTAAGTTATTCAGTAAAGTAGTACAAAATTCTAGGGAAATTAAAAAATAACCCTTTTGATAACACGAAATGAGTTTTTCAAGTAAGTAATTTATTAAACTTTGCCTATAATAATATGTTTTCTATTAAATCCGAAAATAATTAGCTTTAAAGGAACGATAGGACCACATATCGTTTCATAATAAAGCCAAGTCCAGCAATAACGCTTGGCTTCCCGCGATATGTCAGCATTTGATTACCATATTGACTGCTGGGGGAGTAATAATAACATTGGAGATATTGTGGGCAGACTGGGGGCATTCGGTAGCGCCAACAACCTCGTAAATGGAAACCAAATACAGTTGGGGATATGTAGATGTGACAATGCAGTCGTCGACTGGGGCATAAATACAAATGTAGATGTATCTGGCAGATACAATTGCTGGCTCGGCGATGCTGCGATCAACGGATATTGAAGTAGTTTTTTTGTTTCTCCGGTGCCGCTTATGCAAATTGTTTGGCGAATATACAACTCGTCTCGCTTTTTATGCATTTATTCGTCATGACGACGAATTTATTTATATATATATATACGACTCTGGGCAATTATTCCGATTTGCTTGACCGAAAGCGTAACGCGCACGCGTTCGTCCCCAAACTAGAAATGATTCTTAAAAAAACCACGGGTGCAATGCTCGTCGAGAGAGTTAGTCAAGCAGTCAATCAAATATGGCAAAAACCGCAGACATTGGTTTTTCATTGCTAACTCGTAGTCATCATCATCCCAGTTGCATTCGCACTTGGCTGAAGAGCAGCGTCTTTGATGTTTGGCTGTCATTCCGTACATACGGCTTCCATCACAGTGAAGAACAGTCAAGAACAGGCTAAGAACTGACTGCCTTTTACCAGAGTCCTCTGCAAACCTCAAAAACCAATTCTATGCTTTGATTTTCGCGCAATCCCAGTTGTTAGTTGCCGAGGGCTTACCAAGAAGTTATACATCATTAACGGCGGAATTGCATAATAATATTAGTATTTATTTGCTGCACAATAAATTTTAGTACAGCCACTATTTGCTGGTATAAGTCAATTGCATTGGAGATTTCGACATTTTATTGAGTTTATATTGCAGCTGAATAAATTCATGTTTCTAATTTATTAGGTAGGTGATAGATAGCTTATTCGTGCAAAGTTTTATCAACACTTTCAAATTCAAATACCGTTTTTATTGCATTTCTAATAGTTTATTTAACTTTATTTTTTTAGTCCTTAAATAATTTATTGGTCAGAATTATAAAAGTAATAACTTGTATATAAAAAAAAACCAATTTTAACAAACATTATGCTATGGCTATCTATTTTTTTGACTGTACGACCATATCTGCACTATATCATATATATTAATAATATTTGTTTGGTGCTGGGAAATAATAATATTTGTAAATATTTAAATGCCTAATTTTCTTTTTTC